CCAAAATAAAAATCTTTAACTTGACGAGAACTAAAATTCAAACAACGGTAACCTGTGTTCTATCGCTTGTGTAACTAGAATAAAAAGACAGAAGTTACGATATTGTCTTATTATTACTCATAGCTCAAATGCTTATGTCATTCTAATGGGAAAATGCAGTTAAATGTAGTAGAAAATTTTCTCAAAGTCGTAAAGTATAGATTTGAAGCGATGTCGCCTGTCACAAATTTTCATCAAGGTCGTTAGCAAATCAAAAGCAACGTCTTTATAGCTGCTGCCCTCTGAAACTGTCATTATAGATTCGTGAAAACATGCTTATCCATAAGGTCAAATCTATGGAAGGTTGTCGAGGGAGGTATCGAGGCTCGTAGATTAATATGATTTATCAATTATTCAACATACGATTCATTTGATAATGTCAATCACTCGACATAAGTGAATAACAAGCGATCCCTTGTCACTAAAACATGCAAAGGATCAACATCAAATTCGTTGTTTAGTTGTACGTTAACAAAGAAAATTACCAAATTAAATTGCTGTGGAAATACGAGAGCAAATATAGATGAGGAGAATCTTTTTCTTTTTACCTTACTGTAGTACACTGTATAGTAAATGTTTACGGGTGAGTCATCTATTGCGAACACACACATTCTTTATATAAGTGACAGTTAGACCATTCCTCATTTTAATTTCTTACGCCCGGGCGCGTCTTCCATGTCATTATGTCATTCCTATTCCATCAGACCTAATGATTTATTAGTGTTGGTTACCAGGGAAGACACTTGTTTATACAACAAACAATACAGAAAAACAAAGACCACACCATACGTTAAAGGCACCCAGTGCAGTTTTTAGGGCTTGGAAACACGATTTTTCAAAGCCAACATTCTAGTTATTTATCTACATACTGAGTTGAAACCACACTATCCCAATATATATCAAGTCTCATGTTGCAAAAATTGCCCAAGACTCGGAAAATGGTTACTGGAGGGTCCCTTAGCTGATTTTTAAGGTACCATCCAGAAAATAAAGGACTCATCTTGAGTCTTGTTTCTGCAGTTTTAAATGCCCAAAGTATGAAATGCGAACTCAAATGTGCTAATGTGAAGCAGTATGTGTCAATATCACAAAGATTTCCAGTTTTGCTGCCCTGAAATAGCAAATTACGAAACACAGGTGCATAAAAATCGGCACATTAAATATGCACCTTTTGGGAGCAACCAGGTTATTATGATATTATAAAAGAGGACGAACATAAAGTGGCACCTATGATTATTAAATCTAACCGTAACCTATGATAATCATACACAGTTGCGAAGTAATTTTAAGGCGCCAACGACAAGAATGCACTGTTATATCGTGTTTGTAAAAAATAATTTGTGCCTTAGGAAGTTTTATGTATAAATGCCGAAGTTTGTATTGCAGAAAGGAAAACCTACTCTATATATTTATATTGCTTAACAGTTAAAAGACTTGAAGAAGAAGAAGAAGAAGGTCTCCCGTGCTCTAATGCGAGCGTAGCCCATCTCCATTGCTGTGCTGTGTTTTTGACATTCCCACACTGCTTCTCATATGCGCTGAGTGCTAAGCAGAGAAAGAAGTGTGTACCATTTTTAAAGTCTTTGGTATGACCCGGCCGGGGTTTGAACTCACGACCTCCCGGTTACAAAGCGAGCACTCTACCAGTTGAGACATTGCACCAGTGCAAAGACTTGCCATAATGTTAATCTACAGTCTCAATGCTTAGCGGTGGTTCAGTGTTCTGGTTGGGTTTGATGTACAACAGTTCTATGTGATCGGGGTTAACGGTGTTGCAGTTCTCATTGATGTACCAGGGGGCGCTCTGCAGATTTGGGAACTCTGATGACGTCTGTGTGACGTTGACCGTTGGACGTGTGTTTGCAGGTTTGGGAGTCGTGTGAGATACGTTGGTTCTAGCTTCCAATCTTCTGTTAAAAGAAAAAAAAATTCGATGAATTTCAACGTCAATGGCAATGGTATAGAGAGAGGGCTTTTTTTTCTATCATGTGCTAATGTAAACAATAGCCTGGGTTGTAACACTCCTGGCTAATCATTGGTTTACAGCAAAGTTGCAAAGTTCTAGCTACATGCAGCTTGCACTAAATTGCAGTGTTTCTTCTATATATTCTTCTAATAGAATGTATGTAACATAGGCAATCCACTAGCCTCCATAGCATGCCAACAACTGGGGGTTTGGGGGGTCTTCGGGGTCTTTGGGAGCTTTTATGAGCTATTTTCTGATTGCATGTAGACAACATAGCCGGGCCGGTTGAATTACCCCCGTTTTTTTTAAACTGGACTAATCAGAAAACCACGAAGACCACCAAACCTCCTGAGTTCTATAAGATCCTATAAGCCTACCACGGAGGCTACAATCCACAGACAATCTAGCTAACCTTTTCATCCAGTACACACAGCACATAGCTACGACCATCAGGAGTACGGCTACACCTCCCACCGTTACTGGAATGATGATCTCCAAATGATCAAATTCTGATGGTGATTCTGTAGAAAAAAATAGAATCAATCTCTCAATAAATGTAAAAGTTACCGAGCAAAAGTTATAGAGCATTGGTTTTACTTTGTGGATTTTTTTAAGCAGATCGTCTGTGTCTGAGCGCCCCTCCCCCAAACTGTTTACTGAAACATCCCCTACAGGACGTATGCTAACCTGTTCACTGGAAATGAACTGTCCCTTTTCCATGGCGGGAGATCAACCATTGTAAAATAGGGAGTTGAGTGGATACATCTCTGATACAATAAATCAACTCTGATGTATACTTTTTCCAATAATAAAACAGCGTTATCGGTAAGAAAATATATGTGAAATCAATTTTAAAAGGTGAGGTACAAACAACAAAAATTTTCTGTTGGCATTATACCCGTATAAAAATGGTTCGTCCCTTCCTGTAAGCGCCAATCACGTTCAAGCTTACATCTAAGAATCTTTCATTCAAAATTTTGGCGCCATTGCACCTGCAGAGACTGAACCTGGGGCGTCCCGTCAGAACTGAGGTAAGAATTTCCCCATTTTTACGGAGAAATACCACATTATATTCAGGGTTCACCTTGTATAGTTTCTGTATATCGTTGCCAAATGTCCCCCTTTGATTTTAGGATATTTGTTACACGGTTTCCCCGATATTTTCACGATTTGTGATGCATGGTACCTTACGCATGACGAGATTTTCGTACATTTTTCCTGTCAGTGTTTCTCTCGTAAACGTTGTATTTTCCCTCAAGTTTACCTCATAATTTCCAGGCAAAATGTTCCGACGTGTAGTACTTCAACTTTTAGCTTCCTTCACTGGTGAAAAATTGAGAAATATTTGTAAAGCGGCCCTTCGTAGTTGGGCAGGCGGGATGTCATTAGCATGGTCCCGTGTGTATATGGCCGGCGTTTGGGTGGTTGGTAACAAGCCTACCAAAATTGATATTTTTCC